GGGGGGGGGGGGAGAAGAAAAAGCCATTTCTTTATTGCAACAGCCTACTAATATTAGGTATAACCCAATGTGTGTGTCTGGTGTCTGTTATATACTTTAAAAACGGTTTCAGTAAATTTATTAGCTAAGTAATTTCTGCACAAAACTTTATATGGAGACGCTCTTAATTCACGTTAAAGATCCAAAATCCCACCACAGGACAGGAATTCATAGGGTCTAAGTATGCAGCATGGAGAAATAAAAATAAACTCATTTTAGAAAATGTTTAGAACAGATTCATTTTCTTACTAGTGGCCCTAATGCTCAATAAGCTGGGGTAAATCTTTTTTGGTAAAAAAGAGTTGGTGGCTATGACACATGCCTTCAGTACACAGACCTCCATCATTCAACTATAATAAACTTCAGAGCAAGAGTCATCCAACAGATGTAATTGATGAGATTTAAAAAAAAAATTATTCTTGGTTGTGATAATCACACCAGCAAGTTAAAAAAATTCCCTTATGTACTTAAAGCTTTTGCTTTTGTGTAAAGATAGAAAATTTCCCCTCTTTTGGCATCTTTCTAAACTGTAAAGGTGTTTGGGAACTGAAAAAATATCTTTAACAAAACTAGGTGGACTGAGTTAATTATATAATCAATCAAGTCACTTTTCTCTGCCTTTAAATTTTAAATATGTAAGTCTGTATTGACATAATTACATTTTCTCTACTTTAAAAATGTTTTAACAATTCAAATTAAGTATATATTTTATTTAAAATGATGAATAAATGATAAATAGAAAGCTTACTGTGTAAAATTTTTTTAGATGATGGCTATTTCTTGCTCATTAGAGCCTAGTAAAATATTCCCTGATTACTCTAATGAACTACAGATTACAGAATTAAGATTAGAAAGTCTGGTTCAACCCCTTATCAATGCTGCAACCTGTTCTGCAATACCCCCACCCAATGACCTTCTGGCATTCGTTTAAATACCTCTCGTGACAAAGGAACTCGCTACCTCTGAAGTAGTTTGTTCCCACCTTGGGCAGTTTAATGAATAAGTTCTTCCTTATAATGAGCCAAAAATATATCTTCTGTTCATTTCTGCCCACTTATCCTGGCTCTGTTCCTTAAAACCACACAGAACAAGGCTAACCCTATTTGTGTACAGGGTGAACACACAGGCTTGGACCTGTCTTAGAGACGGGTCTCTATCACTGAAGTGAATTAACGGCAAGTCTCATCGTGCTCTGGGCCTGTTTCACTGGCTGTGAGACAGGCACAGCAGTAATACTTACCTTACAGCGTCGCTGTGAGGATCGAATGGATGAATAGCAGTGCGGTGCTAGCACACTGGGAAATGCTCAGGGTGTCACGAAGAGTGTCACTGATGACCCCAGAATCTCTCTCCTCCAGACCAAACCCCCTCTGCTCTTTCAACTGTTTCGCATATAAAAACTATTCAAGTTCACCATCATCCTAGGTCTTCTCTGCCTGCATCTTTTAAAGTCTACCCAGGCAGTGCTAATATAATCAGGTATATTGGTCTAAGAGATCAGGTCGGTAAGATTTTTGTTTTGTTGGGGGCACAGTTGGAGGAGAATGAGTGACTTCCTTGTTTTAGTTTGTAATTCCTTTATGGAATTAATCCATTCTTCCCTGAATTCTGGGATCATTCCCACCTCCTGCTCTTTTTAATGCTATCCATCACCAAACAGCCTCTGATCCCTCGTCTCCTTTCATGGATCTATCTTCTCTTGGCCCCCTGCTTCCACCCCCTCCCTCCTGCCTCTCAGATCTGTGCCTATTAATGTACACAGCAAGGCGGGAGAACTCTCTCGAGGTCAGATTCTTTCCTCATGCCAAACACAGTGGTGAGCAGATACATTCAGCAGCTCAGAGGCAAGAGAGCCAGCACACGGAGAAATCCTTTCACCACAACATTAGGAACTATCACTCCTGCTATAACTGTGGCAGGGTCCAGGAGAGATGGGATGCAAGGGATGGAAGACAGTGTTTTATGAAGATACAAAGGTCTGCATACTTTGTGCTTCGATTCGTCTTCTAGCAAATACCTCATCATCTGCTTTAGTGACAAAGGAGTT